TTTGCAAGAGAATCACGCTCATTCGTCTGTGCTTTGTTACACTGTTGATTTCTCAATTCAGCATGTGCAGAATAGGTAACACTGATGTGCAGTCATGCATCTTTTCTTCACCTTCATCCCCGAAGCACCATACCATCATCTATTTTGTTTTGCCTGGGTTTATTTTGCTGAATGAGTGTTCAACTGCCAAGCCATCCATTTTTTCCTTTAAATGCCAGAGAGCTTCAGTGGCTTTAACAGCACCTGAAAGCCTTTGGCATTTTGGGGTCACTGGTTTGGACTTGCTGTCAATGTTAATATTATTTAACTTTTAAAATTAGATTTTAAGCTTTGTGCAAAGCTGTGTGTGGCCAGGATGTTTCACTGCAGCGTCCATGTTTTGCAAATGCCACCCACCAAAAACCAACAACTAATAGTAATAAAACCCAAAATGGAGGTGATGTGTGTACTTGTAAACTAATGCATCAGCTCTGTGTCTTTGACAGCAATTAGTGAGCAAGATTTCAGTCCAGCACTTGGGACCAAAATAGCAAGACTATTTTTAACATGGTGCTTAAGCCAGAAGCAAGTCTTCCGAGTGGGGAGGCATTAGCCAGAAAAAACCATGCAGAGATGAAATAAATAAAAATAAAATAAAATAAAATAAAATTGCTCAAAGCAGTGAATGCTTCCCTGAATGTATATATACATAGGGAAAAATTTCTAAAAGATTACCAGAAATGCTTTGAAGGGTATTTATGTTTCTTAGGAAACTTGAAGTAACAGGGAACGAATGAATGGGCTGTTAAATACAGGAGAGAAAAAAGGAATGACAAAATAGATCATTCTCAATGTTGGTTAAATATTAGCTCATAAATGTCATCAGTCCTTGAACCTGGTGTCAGAAACATTTACACTGGCTTTAGGTAGCAGTATCTTTCAAAATGTATAACTTAAATGAGCAATTATTACTGTCTTAAGTTTCAAAGTTTCCAGCAATAGCAGTTGTATGAAATACTGGAAAGTGATGCTGAAGAGCCCCTTGCTGTACTTTTGTGGCTTGCAGGCATACATCACAGAAAACATAGAAGCCCGTGCTTTATTATTTCACTGTTTCATATGCCTGCACCTCATTTCCAGTTTGCAAGTGGTGCTTTGTAAGGCTGAGCCCACAGGGGGAGGGGATGTCAATACGAAATCTGGTTTCTGTTATTATTTGCTCTCTCTGCTTTTGGTACCCCTACTCCCCACTTCCCATGTGGAGGGGTGGCTTAGCAATGGGTGCGATTCTGTAAAAATGCTGGGAAGAGATGCATGGCCTCAGGCTTTGATCTCAGCTGTGACAGGATCTGAGATACAATAGCTGCAAACACACAAAAACTGAGGCCCACTGTGGGGGACCTCAGCTGGACTGAGGCCCTTGGACAGAGTGACTTTGACCTTGAGAAGATTCCAGTCTAGCCTTGAGAGAATAAACAGGAACAAGAAGAGCCACAAGGTAAACAAGTTTGTCGAAAGTGCTGACAGCAGACTGAGGGGTATGTGCTCCTTTGGCGGAAGTGCTGAGTTGTGATGAACTGTGAAAATATTATCCAATAAAAAAGAAACATAATAGCTTTGAACCAATGAGAAGAAGACACATCTGGGGAAAGAGAGTATAAATAGATGAGGAAGAAAAACAGCAAAGGTTTTGTGTGCTACGCCAACACTTCTTGTCTTGTTGCGTTGTCCGTCCCTACCGTGACAGCCCACCACTGAACACCAGGAAAAATACTTTGGCCTGATAATGGTGTTGAGGGCTTACTTTAAATGATCCACAAAAGCAAAACATTGCTTTTGAAATCTGCTCCATGAAGGCATCTGTCTGAGCTTCCTATGTGACTCAGATTCAGCAGGGACGGGGAGCAGATGGGAGGAGTTGATGACAGCTTAGGACAGACTGGACTGAAGGAACTGTACTTCCCTAGAAATTCAACAAGGAAGATTGCAGAAAGCATAAAGCAAAGAAAGGAGGTAAGTGTAGTTTGGAAATGTTTATGGTGAGACTGAAGTAGGCAAGCACTAGCCAAACGGGAGGGAGAGAAGATGGAAAGATGCCAAACAGCTTTGAAAGGCAAGGGCTTCTGAGTGTTGAAGACAGAGCTGCACACATAAGCAGTTGATAGAGGTAGGAAGAATACCAATGGTGTAACACAGCACCTTTGGCTTTGTTGAGGATAAGCCTCTGAGACTTCATTCCCACAACAGCAGTCAGCAAAGCGACGTCCAACTCAAAAACCAGGGCACCCGAAGGCTGCCTCATAAGCAAAGTATGGGCATGAGTGAATTGAAAACAGGCTTGCAGTCTGGTGCATGCAGGCAGAATCACAGGGGAAAGATCAATGGAGAGGATATTCCCTGCTGCTCCTGGGGTCTGAATTACAGATCATGGCTGGCTGCACACGTAAACAAAGTGGGTTGCTACCTGGAGGGCAGGTTGCCTGCTCTGCTTATATTAGAGGCAATGAGTTTTGACAGAACAGCATGTTCCTCTTGATAGCCAAGCTCTCCCCTCCATGTGCAGAGGCCTTTGCTGATGGAGAGACTGGTATGTAGGAGTAGCAGCTCCTTCTGTGAGCAGGGGACTAGCATCAGTCGTCCCAGTAGCACCAGTACTCATTGCTCTGCTTGTGCCACAGCCTGGGCTGCAGGAGCAGTAAGCTGTGGGCTTCAGAGCTCCCCACTGGTCTCTGCCTGCACGTGGCAATGGCTGGGGGCAGGTGAATTGAAGAGGACCTGGTGAAACTGGGAGGAGGAGAATCTCTTGTCTCTTCTCAAAGTCCCTTGGAAATGTCTACTGACCTCCTCGATTAGCTGTCAGTCAACTCGGTGCTGCACAAAGCCTTTGCTTGTGTATCACCTCTGACTGCTCAACTCTTTTTGCCTTATCCCAGACTGTTCTTCTGTCCCTTCCTCAGGCTTCATGGCTACAGCCCTAAACCAAGGTTTTGCTGAGAAGTCTAAAGCCACTTCTGTCATGAAAAATACTCTTCAGCAGAAGCACTGATATCAGGCAAGGTGCCAATGTATCGTCCTCTTCCAAGTGACATTTTTGTGGCCTTTGTGTACAGAGGGTAAAAGAAGGGTTAATGCTCTGACAGGCTGAGGACAGTGGATTAAGAATATATTGTATCTACAATTAACCAGGTTGTCCTGTTCTTCCTCTATTATTATGATGGTTGTTATTACAGTCATTTGTAGGGCATCTAAGTGAAGTTCATCCAGAATATAAATGCCTAAAATTGAGAAGGAAGGCAGAAGAAAACATTAAGATTTCCACGTAGAGATGACCTCTGTTGCTCTTTGAGCTTAGACTATATTTGGCAGGACCAACATGAAGAGAAGGCTTGCCTTGGAAAGAAGGCACTGCAGCTGCTGGCCCCTGTAATTAGCCAAAAGGCCTGCAGCGTGTGGGGTGTAGGTCACAGCGTGCAGTTCCTCCCATGGCACTGCTCAGTCCAGAATAGTGCCTGCAGGAATGTAAAGCCTAGCTAAAACCCAGATACTGCAGCTGATCCCATGCAAAGGCCAGAACCCTTCTTCTGGGACTAATGAGGCCGCTAATGTATAGGGTGCACTTACAGGGTGCACAATGCTGTCAAGCCTTTGGAGCAGGAAATGTTTAATCCTCTGTGTATGCACAGAAGACTGATTCAGTCCTTACCAAGTGCCTCCAAGCATGCTTGGAGGTAGTAATTATTCAGAGTAAACTAGAACCTTGGTGACCCTCAATTGCAAGCAAACTTCTGAAATGTAATATAGTGGAATTAATAATTTATATATCTGCTTAGTGTAATAGCAGGGGAAAAAGAATTACAGCAGGAAAGATTTCTCTGGCAACCTGTGGGTCAGTGAATGTATCGTATATCTCTGTATGTAAACTCCAGACCTGTCAAGAACCCATATGAAAAAAAATTTCTGCTGATAACTGAAATTGAGCATAAGTGTTTTTATGAAGACTTTAATTTTTTCTTGTTTTTATACTATGCCACCTAAGGAAGGTAATCAAGGAAACAAGACAACAAAAAAAAGTTTATCAGGATTTTTACTACAAATATTTTCCCTCCATGATATTTAATAGGAAAACCACACATAATTTTTCCTAAAGCAATGCATTAATTCGTATAGGCTGGGTTAAGGATGTAAAGAGTATATCACACTCAGGAGTCACACAGTGGTAGGCATGGGCTTGATATCACAGACTATCGATTAAAACCTCCTTTCCATGGCAAGATTGCTCCCTTGCTGCTCTCCTCAGTGGGCAGCAGCACAGCAGTGTCTTTGTCTACTCCCCAGAAAAGTTGGATCCAGAGCCAGTTCCTGGCCTGAAAGTTGTCAGTTTCTAACCAAGCACAGTTTCTATATAGACATAAGAGCCAAGCAAACATGCAGGTAATAGGGGAAGATGTATTTCAGCCTGCTTTACTCAAGTGGTGGAGCTTCACACCAGTTCCACTGCTTTTTTTTTTTAGATTTCTTTTTGTCTCCATCCCTGTTCAAGCAGTGAGGAAGTTCAGTTTCTCAAAAGCATCTTGACTTGTGGGGTGTCTCTGTTCCTCATTAGCCGATGGAGTTACACAAAGTGGAAAACTCCCTGGGACTTGAAAATAATGTGTGCTTCTTGAGAGGCATTTCCCATCACTTCTGTATTGGATTTCAGAAGTGTTTTAGGTAACCAATCTGTTTCTCATGGGTGCCATTGTGGGTATTCTATTTCCATGTGCATGGATTTCTTTCACAGGTCTGTTTTTGATCCTTGAATGAAATAGCTGAGGGGAAAACCCCCCAGACTTATACAGGAGAGAAGATGCAAAAGTAAGCATCATGACCTAAACAACTAAGATGTTTCCTCTGTAGAATCTCATGGCTTTAAATTTTCTGTGTGTCAGCGTATTTTAAATTGCACAGGCTATGGCATGGATTGGCATAGATTTTGATTGCAGTCTTCATTCATTCACTTCAAAACACTTATTGAAAAACCTTCAACATTTTTTTCTGGTCTTCACAACTTTGCTGTGATATCTGATGGGGATGCCAGATGGCCCAAAGAGATAAATATCAAACAAGTAAAGTGTCCCCGCATCCAGCCCTTTGATGATCTCTGTGGTGACAGCGCGCTGGAGATTTATATCATAGAAATACTTGCACAGCACTTTCTCTGACTTGTGCCGGGATTCAGGTCCAGAGCACCTGTCTGCGCTCTGCAGTTCCATCCAGACCTGGTCTTCTTCAATCTTTTTCTTGTATATGCAGTATTTGCTCTCTTCTTGTGTTCCTAGCCAGGCAATGGTGACAGAGCTGCAGGTCCTCAGCTTACTGAAGGACTTGATTTTTAAACTTTCTGGAAGAAGAGGGAATAAGGGCTTGTGGAAATGGGAGGAGACCTGTACTTTCACAGAAGAGTTAGACTCCTCTGTGGACCTCAGCTGCACCAAATATGTGTCCAACAGCTTTCCCTTCAGTGAGAAATACCTCAGCCCTGAGATGTTTTCTGATGCCACTGTTTTGCCATTCTTTGTTATGTGGACCCGTATTTGGCCACGGCACAACTGAAAGGTGAACTGTATTTTCTTGTGCATCGCCTGGTACTGCAGATTATAGAATTTTTGTTCTTTCCCATCCAGGACAACCTGAATCACTTTCCCATCTTTCAGTTCCATCACCTTAGGTTCAGGTTCTTCCAGGGTTCTTGCAAATGTCCCGGTGTAAGCAGCGCTGGCATTTGTGAGGAGATTGACAACAAAAACGTCGAAGTAATACTGAGTGCTGGGGCTGAGATTGGGCACTGTGTAAGTGTTCCTGGTACCCATGCATATCTGCCTGACTTCCCCAGTACTTGCTTTGTTGATGATGCTCAATTCCCTGTTGGACAGTATCATCACCTGCTGTGGTTCAAGGAGGTACGGAGAGAGAGACAAAGCTAACGTAGGTGGCAGTTTCATTCCAGAGGATCTGATTGCTGTCTCAGCAGCACATAAGCTCTTATAGTTGTGCTTTTCATTAACTAGAAGACAGTACTGGATGTTTTCTTTATGTTGCAAGACAGAGGGACTGTGTTTCCAGGTCAGAGTCACTGTTGTATGCCCAATGCCAACAACATCTATGCGTGGATCCATTGGAAGTTCAGGATAGAGGTGCCCAGATGTGGTGTCGGTTGTTAAGTACACGGTAACGTGTGTGTCTCGCTCAGTGGATAAGAATTCTAGCATGTAAAGGGCAGAATGAGAAGACATACCCATGTAAGTCTCTACAGAATTTCCCTTATAGTTAAAAATGGTGGACACCATGCTTGGAGCCTTCTGAGATTTTGAGGTCTCTTGTGTATCATGGTCACCTGCAGACAAAAAGCAGACTTACAACTTTTGTTTTATCAGACAAAATAAAGCGCATTATTGTGTGAAATAAAGCACACTGCATAGGTTTTATTGTTCGTATGTCAGGGAACATCCTATTTTCTTCCTGTAAACAATAATTTTAACTAAAAATACTCTCTGCTACTGGCAGTTCATTAAAATAAAATTTGAGTAGCTTTTATTTTAGCAGTGCAGTTGTAGAATTATGTTTTCAAATAGACTATAATTATAAAACCACAACTTCCAAAAGCTTGACTTGTATTGTGCCTGATGTCCCTACAATTTTCTTCTTCCAGTGGCTCTCTTTGGGCACTTCTCTTCAAGGAGACTCATACTTTCTATGAAAGGAATATTCTTTGGTTTAGTTTTGAGCCACTGACTGTTTCCTATGAAAAGAAAAAATTTATTACCTGAAAGGAATGTTATTTAAACTGCTCTGTCAGGTGTACCTGCCTGACAGTTAAGAACTGGCTAATGACAGCTTTCAGATTTTAGTTTGAATAATTAATTAAAAAATTGTGAAAGAGAATGGGATTTCCTCCTGGGCTAATGGCAAAATGATGCCCGCTGCCATGGTAGACGGAATTGCTAGAAAAATAAATGGCTAAATCTGCACATCACTGCGGGGAGCAAAATGACCAGTTCAAGTGGCTTAAGCCACAGAAAAAGAGCTGGGACAGCAGAGGGAAGTTTGGGCCAGTACCAATGGCTTATGAAGCTGATCCATGTTTGTAGAGCCCCGAACACCCAGAGTTGTTCCCAAATATTACTCTGTAATTTTGTCTTTTTCAGATGTAATCCTTACTTTACTTGTCGATGACAAAATCCCATGGGCTCCCGTGGAGACAGGGATGTCTGCTTTGGCCCATGGCAGTTTACAGGAGAGGGAAGCATGAGATGTTTGAGCTTGCGGGGAATTTCCTGTAACACAACTCCTTATGAATAATTTATGCTTTCCCTGTCTCTGCTCAGGCACACTGAGGGTCTTACCTGGCGCTGCTTTTCCAGGGAAACTTGCTGAAGCCCTGTGCACAAGTATACTCCATTCGATGGGAACATCACAGGGGGTCACTGTTATTGTGAAAGGGGCAAGGGCTCTGCCTTCCTCCAAAACAAAGTAGTACCTGTAAATGTGGATTGAAAACAGAGGGAAAACGTCAGGAAAATCCAGTCTGCCTGAGAATCCTTTCAATCAGCCATTCTGGTGTTCTTTGTAGCTTTGTTCCTGTGAGCACTGTCACATTGTATAACATGTGCCGTGTTTCAGTTTCTGTGCGGTGCGTATCAAGACTGAACCATCTGGCTCGCTCTCTGCTCCATGACCGCTCTGCTCGGGTGTACGTCAAAATCTGCACGTGTTGGTCACTGTCCAGAATGGTGTCTGATTAAACCACTTGAAGTGCCTTTTCCCAAACAGGCAGATCAGTCTTTGCTACCCAAGATGCAGTGCCAGTTTTAATATCAAGATCACCTACATGTCTAGATATTGCAGAAAACTTTGTAGCTATTTTGGGGAAGTGAAGAAGCTGTGAAATTTCTGTATGCAAGGCACTTGTGATCTTAGCAAGCTTTAGCGCATTGAACAAAAACACTTCCAGCATGCAAGACACAGGCAGAAATCTTTCTGATAAGAAGTCTGTGCAGATATTGTATTGATTTTTGGAATAGTTTATTTGCTAGGTAAAATTCTTGTATTTTACAGTAAACGTAAGAAGGGCAATGTGTCTCTGCAGTTCTGAAGCCAGGCTGTTGGAGACACAACTGTTTGCTGTTGGAGCCCACCCGTTCTGTACCAGCACTGCTGCTGCTCTGACAACCACCACACCTGAAATGCGTACATGAATCTACACTTCATCTCAGAGGCTTGTTCCAGATTCTGGGCAATGTAATGACACTTGAGCCTGACAGCAATGCAGATGCATAGCGATTCTTGGCTTGTACTGGCAGTGTGCAGCTACCAGTGTCATAGGAAAGTATCTGAGAATAGGAGAGACTGATTTGCTCTTACCTTTTAGGTATATCCTTCAGCAGGTGAACTGTAGTTTCCTTACCATCAGCAAGTATTAGGGAGCGGTAGATATTGAAGAGATTGGTCTTGAAGCTTTGTTGGGAACTGGCAGTGGGTGATTTTATGGAATGACACAAGCAAGCTGCCGTGAAAACATGGAGAGGCAGATAAAACCAGAACCAGGACATCTTCAGCACTGCAAAGTGAGATGACAGAAGTGAATGGAAACTGCTGTCTTGGGGGAGAAAATAATCACTGACCCTTTATTTCTGTGCTGTGCCTTTGCTGGTATTTATCGTAATCACAGCAAGCCAGGCATTCAAACAGTGCTAGTATCCATTTTGCTAGATTGCTTAAAGTTCACAAAAATATATTTCTCGGAGGATCTCTCTGCAAAGACTTAATGGCAGAAGCTGCTATGAAGTCTTTTATTGTAGAAAAACATAGTCAATGTAGCACAAATGCAATATCACAATACAGTTATAAGAAAACTTTCACTGCTGACAAAATTAGTGGAGAATTAAATTTAAATACTTTTCCTAGTTTATAGTGTTCATTTGCTAATTTTCAAGGCTGGGTTATTTGTAATGCAGCTGCCACTTTCAGACTCACAGGAGGTCACTGTATCCCAAAACTAGTTCTGCTGTCCTGGCAGAGATAATTTAAGTTTTTCATCCATCGTGACTGTAGATATGTGTAGAGAAGAGGAGCAGAATAACTTATTCAGAGCAGTATAAGATACTGTTTGATGAAAAGTGGAGGATCCAGGATAAACTAATACTTAAGAGTAAGCTGATACTTTGGAGATATTAAGCTCTTTGCATATCTCATTTGGAGGAAGGCTTTATTACTACAGGACAGCTGGATAAATCATTCTGAGGTTTTTGAGTTGCCCATCTCTTTCACACCTGCATCTTCCAGCCCATGTCAGCATTCACTGCTTACTGGAACTGTAATAGCTCTATTGTATCCACTCTAAGATGTTTCAAAAAATCATGTATGCCCCTTCCCTTTGCCAGAAGGCTTTATTATCAGCTTTGAATCTATGAAAGAAATGTACATAAACAGAGCCAAAAATAATTTCTGCGAATGCTGACATTATTTAAACTGTGCTGTTACATTGCACAAAGCCACACAGATAGGGTGCTCCAGTTAGGACAAGAAATGTTGACGGTGTACTACCATGTGAGGTTATAGATCATCCTTACAATTTTGTCTCTGCCACATCCAATTTCAGAAAGAAAGGAAAGTGCAAAAGTGGAAAGGACATAAAAGGGAGAAGAGCAGGCATAGACCTTTAGTACAGGTGCCAGCTGTAGCTCAGGGATTTGGAAAGCAGAGGGAGCTCTGTGAGCAAGATCCGTTTTTGAGGAAAAAGTAGCTTATTACATCTTACAAGCAGCAAGTAGCAAAGATCCTGGTTAAGTCTGTTTATTGGCTAATGATAGAAGAGAAGAAAAAAGACAAAGGCTCCATCCTTTGTAATTTTTACTTGTTCTGTTTACTTGTTTACTTACTTTCCTCGTGGTGCCTGCGAATGTAGAGAAGACCTTAGACAGTTAAAATATCTACAATTCAGCAGACCTGCTCTACATTACAATTAAAGTGACTTTATAAAAGGACAAGTTCCTCTAGAAATCCATTTCAAATGTGCACACTTAAACATAGCATTGAATGCGTCTGTAGATTTTAATGTGCAAAATTTGTTTTAATGTGTGATTCCCAAAGTAAAGTACATCTTTGGTATCAGTGAGATTATTATTGAAATTATCACTACCAGGTCATCTGAATGTCCTACTTAACATCCTTATAAAGTTAGGTTATTCTCTTCCTGTTTGTAGTATTTTAACACTTGGCTGAATGCAAGATCAAACAACCAACTGACCAAGTTGAAAGAACAGTTACAATTATTATATCAATTCCATTTTAAATGTTCTTAAAACAGAGCTTTCCTTATGACTCTGAGTCACTTTGCCACTTTGTTATTCTTGTAGTCTAACTATAGCTTACAGATTCAAAATATAACCCCAAATATTTTGTTTTACCTTTGACAGTGGAATCTGAGTTGCTCTGCGCTTCAGAGAGGATTAAGGAAAGAAAAAAAGTCTTTCTGCTGCTTAAATGACAGGATCTTGCAAACCACACTGATACCACGGCAGCTCAGCTTTTCTTGTCCAGGAAAACAAACAAACCAAGCAACCAGCCAACCTATAATCAGCTTAACCCAAAGAGAACATCATCCTAAAGGCTGATTTCACTCAATTACACCAACATTATACTCTCAGACTCCTAGAAATACATTGCACAAAAAATACTCTGCTTACCTATTGTGTTCCCAGCCAGATGATCCCAAGACCACTTGCTTGCTTTGCTGAAAAAGCATAAAATAAAACAATGTAGACTTTTCAAATCTCTGTAGACAGATGAAAACCAAAACTGTGCAACCAGTTTAACAGGACAGAATTGATTTTTCCATATGGCTCCTGAACAGACATAGTAACTAAAACGCTTGCAGTCATTCAAGAAGAAGAAGGAAAAAAAAGCCCAGAAGATTTTGGTATTTTCTTAAATTGGATATTTTTCAAGGTTATTTTAAACTTGCATGATTTTGAAATCTTCAAAGTTCCGACTGTTGCTCAGTCAGTTCTAGAGTTCCTTCTGGAGGGCTGCGAAGCACATTGAAGTGAGCTGCCTCCAGTCAGCGGGACTTTATTCCTGCACAGAGTGTCAGCCAGACTGCTAGAGCAGCCTAATCCCAGCGGTGGCTGGCCGGAGAGCAGGTCTTTGACAGAAAAGCACAGTGAGGAGGAGGGGGTGAGCTGGAGAGAGCAAACATGGTTAACCCTTGTTAGCCCTCAATATAAGCCTGCCAGGGGCACACTGGATCTCCAAAAAACCAGATTTGCATCAGTAGCTTGGTAGCCCTTTCATGGAGTATGCCGTCTCCTTGGCCACAGCACTGCAGAAGTTTCAAATAGTTTCAGGTGTACCGAGTTTGTGTTTCCTGTGGCTCAACAGGTGCTGACTGGCTCACAGAAGGGAAGGCAAAAAAGCTGTGAGGGAAGCAGTGCTCTGCAGTTTTTAAGCAGACTGGAATTAGCAATCCTTTCAAGACAGTCAGGAATCTACTGAGTAGAGCTGAGCAGATCTCTTGGCTTGCAGAGACTGTGTAAGAAAGAAACCCCAAAAGCACTTGGGCTGGGGGAGTTTTGCTGGTGTGAAAAGACTGTGGCTGGGGGGAGCAGACAGGAAAAGGGTGCATGGAAAACACCTCACAGTAAGCACAAATAATTGCTTGTGCAGTCAGGGTTGTAGCAAAGCCATGGTCCTGAAAGGGCTCACTCCTGCTGAGTGAGAGCACTGTATGGCCAGGATTCGCCTGCTGCTTGTACTTCTTAGCCTCTTGGTCTGAGATATCAGGAAAGGAGCCCTGGAGTTGCCCCTGTGGGGATCTGTACTCAGCTTCTTCAAGTAGCCTCAGAAAGGTAAGCCCCAGAAACGTGCAAGAGCTTCTAGGCAGGTACTTTGCAGGGAGCAACGACAGACTGCAGTAGGAAAGCCAGACTTTTTATTATTTCTTTTAAGATAAAGTTTCTTGTTCAGTGTTTGAAGGGAGTGACTTGCAGTAACCCTTTACCATGTCCCCCTGGATCTGAAAATGTATTATTTAAACCTTCCCAAGACTAGAAGTTTGCTAAGAGGGGCAGGTGAGGGAGAAATAGAAAGAGTTTTTATCACACTCTGTGTAGCAGATCCTTATGAAAATGTAAACTTGCTTATCAACTGATGTAATAAAAAGAAATATTTACATTGTGTTTACTCTCACTGCAGAAGATGGCAGGAATAATTATGATGTTGTTCATCAAAGGTTTGCTAAAAATTTATTTGCAGAATAATTTTGCTGAGCAACTGGGCTTTTAAAAAAGGGAGAGTGTGTGGGAACCTTGACACAGGCACCGACCAGAGTATTGGTACTGCCGAGCTAGGAAAGGACATTGCAAGATGTATGCTAGACAACTAGCAACAATGAGGGTAAATAGCAAACAGAATCTTTCAGACAAATTGTCATTCTGGAGTGAAACGCAAACCAGGTAATGTCTGGGTAACAGACGTGGGAACTAACAAAAATATAAGTGTCTAGCCAGAAGCAAATCATTCCCCTAATGAAGGAGCAGCATGAGAAAAAGGTGCTGCAAAGTCCAGTAAGTTCCCAGAGCAGGTAGGGAAGAGGGAAATGTAGGTCAGATGAAGTTCATCAAAAAATGTGTACTGAAAACAGTCCAAAAGATAAAAGATATTGGCCATAATATAAGTGCAGGGACTACAGTGTGTTTATGATGAGATTTGGAGGGACTCATGGGCAGAAGTAAGGGAGAATTGTAAGGAAATAACCAGTGTTGTTAAGTAGGAAGATCTTCAGGCTGGACTCAGAAGCAGATGTCACTCATGTCTGGTAAAATCTCCAGTCAATACAGATACAGTAGACACATTTGTATCAAGGGATGGACTCATTGTCTCTTCCTCCCTGAACCTCCCCACTACATCAAGACAAGCCATTACTCAGGGCACAACTCGGCTTTCAGGGAAGTCAATGAGAGTTTTTCCATTGGCCACTACTTCTGTGCCCATAACTAGCTGTGTTAAGCCAAATGCTTGAAGGACTACTCTGTCTCCTGCTGAATAATATGAGCAAGGATGTCAGGTGAAAGAGGCTGTCAGTCACAGAATGGTAGGGGTTGGAAGGGATGTCTGGAGATCATCTAGTCCAACCTCCCTGCTGAAGCAGATTCAAAGATGGTTTAAATATGGAAGTACCCCAGTTCCTCTCACATGTGGGAAGTATTTGAGAAATAGTTGTGTGTGCTTACATGCTTTGCTGGAGCAGGATGCACGTTTGTAGATTGAGAGGTTCACTGAAGCAGCAGCAAAGGAAAAAAATAGTATTCTCTGTGGAGAAAGTTAAAAGTTAAATTCATGACTCATATAGCTCGACCGAACTCAGTGGAGTTACAACAGGAATAAATCAAACCCTTGATTTCGCATGAAATTGATACAACAGACTTCTCACTAGAAAAAATGTAGTCTGTAATGAGCAGGCTCTGCTGCACCTCAGAGCTGTGTCAGTGAACTCAGGAGAGCTGTCCAAGAGATCCTACTTTTGTCCCAGCCCTGCTGGCCATCAACACCT